GCAACAGCTTCTAATGTATTAGAGAAGATAGTGCCCATGTTGCTAGTCATTTCGTCTAGTTCATGTGTACTTATGGGAACACAGAGCAGTTGAGATAAATCAGGCAGGTTATTTGTGAATCTGTCTTTGGTGGCTGGAACAATAGTTCTGCCCAGACGATAACGCGGAGCCATATAGTTAATATTAGTAGATGAAGTGACAGCTCACGTGGGCTGCGCTGTAGTCAATTATAAAAAGTGAGATGTAATGTTTATGTATGCTTTATATGGCGAGAAAACTGATGCTTTAATGAGTTATAAATAGTATAAAGAGTTGTTAGTACAGTAAGTGTACTTTAACAGTATGTGTGTGTGTGTGTGTACACATACATACACACGCAAGAAGAGTTTAAATCAACCAAGAAAAACAGCAGAAGACAACTCGTTGAGAGCAACCCAAAGGACCACACAACTGTCACAGAGAGAAGACCTCTCTTCAGACCAAGGCCTGTATGAATTTATCCACGGACTAAAACCTCAGAGAAACAAAGGAGGATATCAAACATCAACCATCAACGAATAAGGAAGAGACCCAGAAAGTAAGGAAGGCACTTTTGAAACAATCAGCAATATTTACTTCAGGAAGAATATTTTGGATGTTTTTTCATACAGCAGTGTCAATGAGGATGGTCGTTTTGGTCTTGTTTTTACAGTCTATGCACTGGTTTTGATCAATATTTTAATATTGTGGATATTTTGATCAATATCTATACTGTATATAGTTCACAGAGGAACTCTCAAAAACAAACAAAGAGACAGTTTTTTTCAGTTGTTTGTTTACATTCTAAAGCCAGCGATGGCCACTGCAGCATGCAAGCCCCACCCCTTTTTGTACCCTCAGAAGAGCTCTGAGCATTCTAAACCGCTCCACAGGCAGAAACAGATCAAGGACAATCCTGAAGCACTGTTTGCTGACTATGACCACAGTTCAATGTCCAACCTGTTCTTTTACACTGAAAACAGCTCCTTATGGCCAACACTTCACCTTCACCACAAAAAGAGGCATCTGTAAAGGCAGACAGATCCTGGTATTTGAAGATGCTGAAGGAAATGAGGAATCAAGAATTTTATCTCTGAACTTATACCACAACGGCACTGTCATGATCCAAGGCTCGGAGCCTGCCCTCCAAGCATTTACAGTTGCCTTTATACAAATTAAACAGCAGGCACATCTTAATACAAGTTTCATGCAGGATCATAAAGATACAAATACAAACTCTTCTCCTGTAAAAGACATCCAAAAGAAGACAACAACTGCAACAGCCTTAATTCAATCTCCCATGTCAAAAATGAAAGAGAAATTTTCACTCCTGGAAATTGATATGGTGGAACTAAAAGAATTAATAATGTCCCAGCTAAAAGACAACAGCGACTTGGAGCAGCTTAAAAAGGACATGATGAATTTAAAACAAGAGACTGAATACCTGCAGAGAAACAAAGAACAGATGTCAAAGGAGCTTCACCAAGCTAGAGAAGAGCTGAAGGAATTCAAATCAACTTTCAGAAGACAGATAACAGAAATTAAAACAGAAATGCAGGAAGAACTGTCTGTGTTGAAATCAGAACTTCGAAAGAAGGATGAACTTATAAATAATATGAAGGAACAACTTCTTCACGTTTCATCGTCCAAAGCATCTCACGCTAAACACCTGAGCTGTCTAGAGACCCCCACTGACAATCAGCAATCCCCTGCAGCGGATGAGCCTCGCTCTTCATCAGATCCACAGACCAAAGCCCACCGCACTGCTCCACACAACCCCACCCAAACAGAAGCTCTTATTCTCATCGACTCCAACGGAAAATACATAAACGAGAAACTCTTGTTTCCAAAAATGAAAGCACAGAAAATGTGGTGCCCAAATACCAGCAAGGCTCTTCAGATCTTATCTGATAAAAATCTGAATGAAACTTACAAGCACATCATAATCCACACAGGGACCAACGACTTACGAGCAGCGAAGGGTAACGTGGCACCTGTGCTCAGAGAGGTGGCCCTCAGAGCCTCAGAACGCTTCCCAGAAGCTAAAATAACTCTGTCCACGTTACTGCCACGGAGTGATGTGCCTCTTCACGTGATCCATGGAAACAATGCAGAACTCTCCAGAAGCTGTGCACTCATTCCAAATGTTCACCTGGCTTACCATAAAGACATAGAGAAACAAAGAACAGATGTCAAAGGAACTTCACCAAGCTAGATAAGAGCTGAAGGAATTCAAATCAACTTTCAGAAGACAGAAAACAGAAATTAAAACAGAAATGCAAGAAGAACTGTCTGTGTTGAAATCAGAACTTCGAAAGAAGGATGAACTTATAAATAATATGAAGGAACAACTTCTTCACGTTTCATCATCCAAAGCATCTCACGCTAAACACCTGACCTGTCTAGAGACCCCCACTGACAATCAGCAATCACCTGCAGCGGATGAGCCTCGCTCTTCATCAGATCCACAGACCAAAGCCCACCGCACTGCTCCACACAACCCCACCCAAACAGAAGCTCTTATTCTCATCGACTCCAACGGAAAATATATAAATGAGAAACTCTTGTTTCCAAAAATGAAAGCACAGAAAATGTGGTGCCCAAATACCAGCAAGGCTCTTCAGATCTTATCTGATAAAAATCTGAATGAAACTTACAAGCACATCATAATCCACACAGGGACCAACGACTTACGAGCAGCGAAGGGTAACGTGGCTCCTGTGCTCAGAGAGGTGGCCCTCAGAGCCTCAGAACGCTTCCCAGAAGCTAAAATAACTCTGTCCACGTTACTGCCACGGAGTGATGTGCCTCTTCAGGTGATCCATGGAAACAATGCAGAACTCTCCAGAGCCTGTGCACTCATTCCAAATGTTCACCTGGCTTACCATAAAGACATTCGGCCCCATCATATGTATGACTACATACACCTCAACAAGAAAGGAGTACAACTTTTCGCAAGAGTGCTGAAAAGCACAGCATTTGGTAAAACAGGAGACAAAAATCTACACAGCAAGAGCAGCTCCCAGCCACAAAGAAACGTCCCCCCTCCTCCAAGAAGCAGACAGGACTCGACCCCTGGAGCACCATCACAGAGCTACGCCGCAGCAGTCCAACAGCCACAAAACCCTGCAGCCGCAGAACTCAATCATATAAGACACCTGCTCAACATCATCTGCTCCAAACTGGTCAAATAATGTACAAGAGTAATACCTACACACACACACTTAAAATGACTCTGTCAATATCAATGTGGAATATTCAAGGCTTGAATTCAACAGCCTTTGGACTAAAGAGTTCAAACACAGAATTCCAGAAGAGCATCAAAGAGATGGATATTATAATTCTACAGGAGACATGGAGCAGGGCAGACACCAAATCAGTAAAACAATCCAAATTGAAAACAAAAAATGGAAAAAATCTAATACCCAAAAATGACAAAAATTGGTTTGATCAAGACTGCCAAACTATTCGCAAAAAACTGAGAACATTGTCAAATCAGAAACACAAGGATCCAAATAATGCAGAGACCTGCCTTCTTTACAGTGAAACACTAAAACAATACAAACATACACTCAGAACCAAAAAAGCACAATACACCCAAAAACAACTGACAATAATTGAGAAGTCAGTGAACACTAACCAATTTTGGGAAAATTGGAACAATCTGAAAAAAACTGAAAATGAAGAATTGGCAATACAAAATGGAGAAATATGGGAAAGTCATTTCCAAACATTGTTTAATAAAGTACAAACAGACACAAACTGTAAGCAAAATCAAACAATCAACCAACTGGAAAAACTAGAATTAGCAATCAAAGATAACCAAAACCCATTAGATTTCCCAATAACTGATAAAGAACTTAAAGAAAAAATCAGAAACCTCCAACTCAAAAAAGCATCTGGACCTGATGGGATATTAAACGAAATGATAAAACACACAAGCAGTAAATTCCAATTGGCCATTCTAAAACTATTCAATGTGCTTCTGAGTGTAGGTTACTTCCCTGACATCTGGAATCAAGGCTCGATAACACCAATCTTTAAAAACGGAGAAAAATTTGATCCTAACAACTACAGAGGCATCTGTGTGAGCAGCAACCTGGGAAAGTTATTCTGTAGCATAATAAATGCTCGACTATTAGACTTCATCACCACACGCAATGTACTGAACAGAAGCCAAATCGGATTTTTACCAAATGACCGTACATCTGATCACATCTATACATTACATACTCTAACTGAAAAACATGTTAACCAAGATAAAGGTAAAATATATGCATGCTTTATTGACTTTAAAAAAGCTTTTGACTCAATTTGGCACCAAGGACTATTCTACAAACTTATTGAAAGTGGCATAGGAGGTAAAACCTATGACCTTATCAAATCAAGGTACACTGAAAGTAAATGTGGCGTAAAAATCAACACCAAACGTAC